ATGGGCAGGGAGGAGCTGAACTCCAAGCTACACCTGCACAGAGGAGGCATTTTTTTGTAAGTCACACAAGGACCCTCTGTGGTTTGGCCCTGGGTGCTGACCCCTGCTTCCAGCCAGGCCTGCCCCAAATCTTTTATCTCAGTGGATGAACCCCAGACTCCTCAGCCAAGCTTTCAAAGCTGTATCTTTGTGTCTCTACTGGCCTCTCTAGATGAGCTCTTTTTGCCCCACAGGGTGTTCCCCAGGTTGCCAGTTTCAGGCTTGCAGTTTTCCTTATACTCAGGTGATACCCCAGGACCTTTGCACACTGTTCCTTCTGCTTGGCTGCCTTCCTCCACTCTGTCACTTAGGATCTTTTGGTCCTCAAGGCTATGCCACCTCCAGGGAGACTTTCCTGCCTGATCCCAACATGGGGCTGACATGTCATGCCAGGTTACCCCTCTCTGGCCCAACCCTGACCCTTTGGGACTCCCCAAGGGCTTTGCTGGGTCCCCAGCATCACTCAATACAGGGGCAGGAAGGGTGTTTATGCAAAGAATGCCCTGAGCCTCTCACTCAGGTCTTCTCAGAGTGCCCTGCTCTGCTAGGATGGGGAGTCTGGGGCAGCCACCTGGTCTCTAAGAACTGGGGAAGTACAATCCAAACAATGACCCAGAGCCCAGGAGCTTGGCAAGATGGCTTGGCTCAATTGCCCCACCGAACAGATAGGTAAACTGAGGCACAAGAAGAACAAAGTCCTGTCTGGACTTACTGATGGCCAGGGAGCCCCTGTTATGTCCAAGCCCAACCTCTGAGGCCCACCTCCAGTTAAGAACAAAAGCAAGACCTGATGCCACCCACTGGGGCAGAAACTCTGGGAGATGGAGAAGCAGGAGGGACGTAAGGAGCCCATAGATACCTTCTTTGGGGCCACCCAGACCCCAGGGCATCCCAGAAGCTCTGGGCCATCCAGGCGGGGGTTGGGGGACGCTGGAGACCCACAGGATTCTTTCTGTTCCCTCTCCACTCCCAGAACCCCTTGAAAATTGAAACAGAGTGTGGAGCATAGACATTCCCAAGGCCAGGGTTCAGAGGCAGGGGTCCAGGGCTGTGGGAGCCCTGGCAGGGCTGCACTGAGGGTCTTCAGCGATAGTTAGAAATTGCCACACAGAGTGTAGGAAACTGTGGAGGCAAACTACAGCTGGACCTCTTGGGGAGCTGAAATAGAGGAAATAGGAAACATGGCAGCACATCATCCCAGCCCCCGCTGGGGAGAATAGATTGTGGGGAGGGGTCAAGGTTCAGGGAGCTCAGGCAAAGGGAGAGGTGCTGAAAGAGGAGGTGACTGAAGCGTCCAGGGAGGCAGCGTAGTGACAGGGTGGCGCCTTCCTGCCGGGGGGGCCCCAAGTCCTTTGCCAAGCAGACCCTGCGCACGCTGTGCCTGGCCTACAAGAAGGTGGGTGAGGCTGTGTACGAGGAGTGGCGCCGGCGGCACCGGGAGGCCAGCATCCTCCTTCAGAACCGGGCCCGCGCCCTGCACCAAGTGTATGAGGAGATGGAGCAGAACCTCCAGGTGGGCGTGCACAGGAGCTGAGGGGGCTCCAGGACCCAGGTCCCAGCCCTGTGGGGCCCGGGGTCTCCCATCCCTGCCAGGGGAGCTGGGTCCTGCTCAGTCTGTTTCCCATCCTCCCCCAACCCTCAGCTGCTGGGAGCCACAGCCATTGAAGACAGGCTCCAGGATGGCATTCTTGAAACCATCCAGAGTCTCAAACAAGGAAACATCAAAGTGTGGGTACTCACAGGAGATAAGCAAGGTAGGTCCCAGGGAGGCCATCCCCAGCAGGGAAAGAAGGGAGATGGGTGGGAGAGAACTCATATGTGCCCCAAGTGCCACCATCAGCCTGTTCCATTTGTCTGGGTTAAATCCTTTCTCCCACCTTGTCCTGGGGAAGGGAGAACTCCTGGGGTCCCCCGGGCATCTCCCTTAGATGGGTGGCACTGTGTCAAGCACTTCTGGAGTGTTTGGCGCTCATGGCAGCACCATGAGTTGGAAACTTGTTACCCTGTATGTTAGATGGGCCCAGTGAGTTCAGAGACCTCAGGGCACCTGCTGGAGGTTGCCCAGCCACTTAGAAACAAAGCTGGCATGGAACTTCAGGTCCTTTGGCCCTGGAGCCCTGACTCTCCCCCACCCCACTGTGGATTCTCTGGGACCCCACTAGGCATGGGTGCCAGCAGGGCCACATTAGCACTTCTGTGGGTGGGAGGCAAATACACACAAAATATTTAAAATGACAGTTTACAGATGTGCTGGTATAAAGACAAATGTCCAGGCTGGAATACATTCACTTCTGTTTTCTTCTGATTTTAAAATAAATTAATTCATTTTTGTGGGTTCCTAGAAGTGCCTGTGGGCCCTAGGCATGAAATATCTAAGGATCCCTTGGCCCTGGCCCCAGACTCGCCTCCCTCCAGCAGCCCAGCCCCAGCCAGCCAGAGTGCAGGGCCCTTTGCTCAGAGCTGCCGCCAAAGTTTCAGGACTGTCTCTCATTGGCCAGCCCGGGTGACATGCCCTTCTCTGAACCAATCGTCACAGCCAGGGGGTGGGGCAGGGTTGGCATGGTCCAGGGCAGGGGCCTGCCCAGGGGCTGAGCTGGGCTGGTTTGCAGAGACCGCGGTGAATATCGGCTTTGCTTGCCAGCTGCTGTCCGAGGACATGCTCATTCTGGAGGAGAAGGAGATAGTGTAAGGAGTGGGGTGGGGGTGGGTGAGCTGGTGGGAGCAGGG